GTGCTGCCCCTGGGTGCTCAGCTTGCCGCACCGGGCTCCAGGGGCTGCTTCCCGAAACCCAAAGCGTTCGGCAGCCCCGTGGTAAGAGCAACTCCTTAAAGGCCGGGGAGACCCCGCTTTAGTTCCCCTGTCGCAACAGACCACCTGTGGGTCCTCTGGGGGTACCTGCTGCTCTGTGCCCTGCTTCACAGCAGGCACCAAAGGAGAAGCACATCGCTGTGCTGCGCTGGGGTGCTGGCAGGGCGTCATCCCAAACTGGACATCTCCCTGCTGCCCTGGCAGGAGCATGTGCTGGGCCGCCCCTGCCTCGCTGCAGGGCACCAACCAAGGTGCCAAAGCCTCAATGGGAAGAAATGGGCACAGTCAACCTTGGGAGGAACAGCAGGCAAAGGCAGGCACCCCACAGCCACCAGCATGGCCCCAGACCACCCCAAAGCCTCTAAGCATTAGGAAACAGTTCTTAATTTTGGCTGTCCCCCCTCTCCAAAATCTCTGCAGCTTTGCTCACCATCTCCATGGGAGCAGGGCAGCAGTGGAAGTCCCAGTAGAGGGGCAGTCCCGAGAGCTCGCTCTTCACGTGCAGGCTGAGCCCACCAGCAGTGCGGTGGCAGGAGAAGGAGGTGGTGGCATCTGGCTCCCCTGTCAGCAAGGGGCGCATCAGGTTGCACAAGCGGTGCAGGAAGGAGGACACATGGACAGTCAGCCGCTTGTTCAGCTCCTGGGGAAAGGCAAGGTTAGGGGTGCAGTAACGCCCCGGGTAGCTCGGCACTGTGAAAAAAGCAGCAGAAACCCCAGCACATAAAGAGCCAAACTACTTCTGCTTGTCCCAGCGCTGCAAAAAGCCATCCCTGGGCCTTCGCTTCAGTCCCACGACTGGACATTCCCCACTGGTTCTCCTAGGCCAACTGAGCTTGGGAAGGCTCCTCCACCCTGCCGGCCCAGGAGGGTCTGGGTGGTGGGTAGGGTGCAATGGTCTCCACTAGCGCATCTGCCCTGCGTGTCACTACAAGCATCACAGGCTGGATAAGAGCTGTCACAGCTCAGCTCAACTGCCAGAGCTAGGAAATGGCTAGCAGCTTCTCACAGAAGCCCCCCCTCGAGCGCGCCCCCCCCCCCCCCCCCCCCAGCCACTCAGCCCAGCCACTCTGTGACAGAGGGACATGGCAGACAGGGGTAGCACATGGGAGCCTGGGCACACAGACTAGGGTGAGGGGATGAGGCATGGCCCCATGGGAGCCTGTGCCTGGCTATGAAGGTGAACAGGAGTCTCTCCACCATGGGTGGGAAGGCAGCTGTGTTTTAAGCTCCTCCTTAGCACGCTGGCCGTGGGAAAACCCACTGCCCATCCAGCCCACAAGTGAAATGAGTGTGCCAGCCTCAGCACGCAGTCCCAGTGAACACCTGGCTGCCCCAGGTGTGCTAAATAGCCTGGCCTACTCTCCCAGGACAGGGGTGGTCAGCCAACCGTGCTTGGGCAGAGCTGCCTGGGGACTTCCCAGGCCAGGCATTTGCACCAGAGCCCTGTCAGACCCAGCAGTCATTGTGTCACCAAGCAGTTTATGCTGGCACATCAGCTGCTACAAGGAGAAAAGAGATCCCTGGACTTTCCAGACACTCACCTTGGACCTTTGTCCCACAGCCTCGGCATCTGCACTCTCATACCAGACGCTGCTGAGGTCGGAGATCAGCAGGATGTAGCCAGTATCCCTGAAGCACGCTTTGGCAAGAAAAACAGACTCGCCAAAGCAAACAGAAGCCCAGGGCTGTGTCAGGAGGCTGTTTTCCAGCTCCTCGGAGCCCTCCATCTGCAAGAGAGCAATCAGTTCTCTGCCTCATCCCCCATCCAGGAAGACCCTAGTCCCTGGTCTGAGGAGTGGCCTCACAGGGACCCTCAGTCCCTGCCAGCCCCTCCACGCTGCCAGCCCTGAGGTGAGGATGTTCCACCAGCTTTGGTCACACACATTCCTGCACACGTATGCAGTTCTGCTGGGGTGGGCATTTTGGGGAGCTCTGTGCAGGGCAGTTCCTACCCCAGCTCACAATAAGCACCTCAAATGCACCAGCAGACACATGGCAGTGTAACTGCTGCCTCCCCAGTGTTATCCCGTGCTTGCTGCCATTAATACAGCTGGACCTCCACATCCAAATTAACATTTAAGCTGCCCCACTTGCACCAGGATGGGCAGCAGGATGCTTGCAGCCCTCCTGCTGCTCAGACATTCCGTCCCCGTTCTCCACGCGAGCCACGCGCTTTCCCCTGCCTGCACTGATGCCAGCAGAGCGCCGGCAGCAACCCATGCCACCCACAAGCACTGCTGCTTCCTGCTCCTCCCTGTGACAGGCTTCATGCCTGCCAAAACACTCAGGAACCCGGTGTCTCCGGGGTGCCTGCAGGACTGGGGCTCTCTGGAGACGCGGAGTTACCCGAGGGCAAAAGGAGCAGGCAGGCCAAAGGCTGTCGGGGCGAGGGGCTTTGCAGAGGCGAGCAATGCCGGGCCGGAGGCGAGGGCCAGACTACGGCTCCCAGCATGCTGCTCTCTTCCGCAGTGTGCGAGGGGCCGGGGCACGCCGGGATATGTAGCACCACGGGTCACCAAGATGGGGAAATGGCCACGGTCGTCACTTCCTCAGGGCCCAAGGAGCTACTGCTCCTGCTCCCTTACCTGCTGAGGAGGACGAGGACCCAAGCTGACGTGTCCTGCTCGAGCATCCCCAGTTGCCACAGGAAGTGCCACAGCCAAAATGCTGTGCAAAGCGATGCGGACTGAAATGCCTTAAGACTTTGTCTTGCGCTTGCTCCTGTTATGAAATCTGCTGGTACAAGCGCCCAGCCGGGGACAGCCCTCAGGCTGCAGGCACAGTTGGAGAGGCGGCAGCAGCCAGCGGCTCCCGGCCCCGCCGGGACAAGTGGGAGAGCCGGCAGCAGCCAGCGGCTCCTGTCCCTTGGCCCCAGGTTTATCCCTCAGCCCCAGCAGCTGCAGGGGACTTAGCTGCTGCACCCCAGTGAGCCCTGCATAGCTGGGGCTGGTGTGCCTGTGCCCCCCGTGCCCAGGGACTGAGCTCAAAAGACACCACAGAGCTGGGCTGTGCCAGCCTGCCGGGGACAAGGACACCACGCATCCCCATGCCCTCCAGCCTCCTCCACACTGAGCACAGCCCCATCCTTGCCCCAGGTACTGACTGTGCACTCCCAGCACCCACACATTGACTGTGATCCCCCACCTGCACCCCATGCATGGAGGCCATCCACCCTGCACCCACAAACTGCCACCCTGCACCCACAAACTTCCCCATGAGCTCTCCATTTTCACCCTATTCACACTCCCTCCCTCACCCCTTCTCCCTGCTGTGCAGGCTGCAGCCACCTTTGGCACGGCAGAGGGTTTGCGTCCCAAGGGAGTGCCGGGGAGGTCGGAGCAGACAAGGGCTTTTTAGGGTGCAGGACCCAGGCAGGGTGCAGGACAGTTTGGGGTGCACAGCCAGGTTGGGGTGCAGAAGAAGGTGGGACTTTGTGCACAGCACCAGGTGGCCATGCCCTCCACGGTCACAGTCCTCAGGGGAGGGTAGGCTGGCATCTCCCAAGCAAATCCTGGCTGGAAAGGACTCCCCTGGAAAGGGCAGAGGTGGTTGAAGGGTTTTATAGCTCACTCCCAAGCAGGGAAATGAGGTTTGTGCTGGAAGTGGGGAAGCACAGGTCCCTCCAGTCCACAGGGGCTTTAGAAACAAGGAGCAAAGTGGCTTGCAAGCTGCCTTGGGGGCACAGCCTTGGTCCCCCATGAGGTGTCCCCATGCTGTGGGGTCAGGCCACCGTGTGCCATGCAGACATCTCTATCTCACTCGGCCTCCTGGAGGGCTGCAGCTCCCCTGAGCTGGGTTTGGGGAGCAGGTGCATCCCTTCCTCTGGGGCAGTGGTCCCCTCCTCAGGGGCACGGCTGCCCTCCTCCTCTTCCTCCTCCTCCTTCTCCTCCTCGGTCCCCGGGCAGAGGAAGCAGCAGGGGAAGGCTTTGCAGGAGGATGGCAGCAGTCTCCTCAGCCCAGCAGGGAGCCCATACACCTGGCTGGCTTCATCCCTCTCTCCACAGGGGTGGCGAGCACCTGCCCCAGCTTTCCACAGCACCATGTCAGAGAGCAGCCCTCGCTCCTCCGGGGTTCCTGCAACCAGGGCAGCGGGCAGTGAGATGGGACCCCCTTCCTCCGGCTGCACTGTCCCAGCTCACACCAGCCCCAGGACCCCCCAGCAGGGCTGTCTGGGGGCAGAGCTGGTGGTTCGGGGATGATCCCATGATCCCAGAGCAGGGTCTCATGCAGACATGCTGTAGCATCCCCTCACCTGAGACTGTGTTCTCCAGGAAAAATGACAAGAAGCCCGTTAAGAAGACAGGCACCATGAGCAGGGAGAGGAAGAGGAGGTCCAGGGGCACCCAGCCTGCAGGAGATGCCAGAATCACCCAGGACATCCCAGCCCAGCAGCAGGGAAGGGGCAGGAGCTGCTGTGGCAGACCCAGGGATTGAAGAGGGAGCTGCCTGCTGCCATGAGCTGCCATGGTGGTCACCACGCCACGGGGCCTGAGGCTTTGCCTTCCCTGGGGAATGTCCCTGCTACCTGTGGCCAGGTGAGCCGGAGCCATGCTGAGCCACCGCGGCACCAGCAGTGCCATGAACATGGTGAAGCCAACGATGAAGATGTTCCTTCCGGAATCAATGTCTGCGTACTGGAAGTAGGAGATCCCCGTGCCCACAGCCACGGCGTAGGTGACACAGAGCACCCCCCCTGCGAGGGGCAGGAGTCAGGCAGCACTGGGCAGGCTACAGACACCACAGCGCAGGGGAAGGGCAGAGTACCCACCATGAACTGCCAGCGGGATCAGCCCCAGCAATGGGCTGAACTGAGCAGGCTCTCCATGGAACAGCCCCCAACCATGTCGCCAGAGACCCCAGCAGCCGACACAGCCCAGGGCACAGTGGCAGGAGCCGCCCCCCCCCCCCCCGCCCCCCCCCCCCCATAGTGCCATACAGACCTGCCTTTCCCAGCGCTGGCTCAGTGACAGCCTGGGTGCTACAGGTCCCCCCGTTTCCTGCTCCATTGCCTCCCCATCCCTTGCCGATCTTCCTCCCCCCACCCCGGTCATACCTGCGTGAGGCCGGTGGCGCAGGCGTTGGCGATGCTGGCAGCAGTGCCCCCTGGGGTGCCCAGCAGCCCAGCCAAGAGACTGCCCAGCCCTTCTGTGCAGAGCCCCCGGTTGCAGGCGTGGGGGGGCAGCCGGGGGGCTCGCAGCAGCCTCCCACACAGCACATAGCAGCCCATGGAGTTCGTGCTGCAAACAATGGCCATGGCGATGCCGACTGCCAGTGCCCGGGGGGTGAGCAGTGGCCATCCCCACTCGCCTGCAGCGGAGGGAGAAGGGACGGGTGACGGAGGCCCTGGCTGAAGGTAGATGGCCACACACAGCCCCTCCGTCCCCCACCTGCATAGGGGATGCGGAGCCAAGGGGTGTGGAAGGTGCTGTTGGCCCAGGACAGCTGTGCCACGGCCAGGTCCAGCGATTCCCAGGGGATGCGGAGGTGGCTGAGGATGGCACAGACAATGCAGACACCAGCAAATGGGAGCAGTACCTGCAAGGCAGCAAGGAGAACCTCAGCAGGGAATTATTCTCCCCTGGCCAGCACCCTGCTTGCTGTACCCCAAACAGCAGGCCCTTGTCCTGTCACCTCTCCCAGGGAGCCATGCCACATTTCCCCTTCCCCCCACAGGGAGCATCCCAAGCTCTGCTGCTGCAACACCCTTGAGCACAGGTCCCCTGCGCTCCCCCAAGAGCGCCCACACCCCAGGAGCTGCACTGGGTCTTCCCCGTCTCTGCTCCCAGCACCCAATTCTGCTCCAGGGCCACTGGGTCCCACCTAACCACACATCAAAGAGCCAGGCTCGGAGAGAAGCCTGGGTGCAGCGGAGGAGCAGGGGCAGACAAACCATAGTACCGAGAATGTGCGCAGGGTGGGGACAGACAGCTCTGCGGACCCCCCCCGAGCTTGGGGCCAGGCACAGAAGGGCAGGCGGCAGGACCCCAGGTGCTGGGAGAAGGTGACAGCGAGGAACATGAGCCTAAGAGAGGGAGCACGGGTCACCACACAGCATCACGGTCATGGGGCCCCAAACATGTGCCGTGCACTGTGGGAATGTCCTGTTCCTGTCCCCGCGGTGGAGGGAAGCCCTGTGGGCTGCACACCGGCGTGGCCCCCGGGCTCACGTACAGCAAAGCTACCGCCCAATTAGTGGAGCAGAAGAAAGTGGCCTCCTTGTATGCAGACAGCCCAATGATGGAGAAGCTGGGGGCCAGGACCATAGGCCCACAGCGCCGGGCTGCCCACCCACCCACGCCGGACATTCCCAGCACCAGCTGAACCAGCCCTGAAATCAGCACGGCTCCAGAGACCTGCGGAAAGAAAGGATGGGACCCATGGGGCAGGATACACAGAGAACAGCCCAACACCTCTCCTTGGCCACACTCCCATCTGCCCCAGTAGTATCACTTGCTCTCCATGCTCCAGCCCTGCTCACTCACCCCAAGCCCAGGGGAACACATGCACCCACGTGCACCACAACCCTCATTGCCTTTGCACATCCCCTTGTGTCCCCCATATTCATGGTAATCCACAGGAGGGCTGGGAAAGGGGCTGGGGGTGCAGGTAGTGACTGGAGTGCTGATGGAACAGAAGGATGGGGACCCCCAGCCCAGCGCAGGATCACCCACCTCTCGCAGTGAAGCAGTCCAGCTTCCTGCAACAGCACAGTGCGGCATGGGACATGTGCTGGCCACAGCTGTGCCTGCAAGGGAATTTCGGAAGGATGCTATGCATGTGGATGCTGAGCTCCTGGAGCTGGGTCCAAGAACACGCAGTGCAGGGGCTGCTGGCTGGAGAAGGGCCAGCCTACAAGCATCCCCATAAGCCCTGACCCAGGGTGGCAGCCCCAGGCATATTATAGGCCACAAACCTTGTGGTATGGCCCCAGACACATGGCAGGTGTGCTCAGAGGTGAGTAGGGTGCTGTGCACCATCACCAGAGGGGCCAGCAGGCAGGACCCCATGCTATCTCTCATCCCTACCCAGTGCACCAGGCACCTCATCACCGCCGTTCCCCTGGCACTGCCATGGCCCCGGCCCCACGGGGTGCAGGCTCCAGGGCTGTGCTCACCGTTCCTGTCCATGCTGGCACCAAGGGACAGGTGGGAGCTCAGCACCATGGCAGGGACCAGGTACTCGAAGGATGGGATTTGAACCAGCGGCAGCCTGGAGAAGGGGACAGCAAGGGCACGTTAGGGAGGAAAGAGGGGACAGGGCTGCTCCCAAAGCCCTGGCTGCCAGAGGAGTGAGAGATGGGAAGTGGGGGAGGTGGGAACCCCAAAGGGGCAGGAAGGCACCCAATATCCCAAATGTGTCCTAGCACATCCCATGTGGCAGCACACGAGGTGTGCGCAGAGGTCAGGGGATTTGACAAAGCACATGCCCGGCCTCTGCATGGGCAGCACAGGCACCGGGTGACCTGGAGGAGCTGCGTTATGATGCTGAAGCAAGGAAGCCAGGAGCTAGGAGAAAGCACAGCAGTTTTGCTAGAGGGATGTGTGAGAGAGGAGGATGTAGTGATGGCGGGGAGGGGACAGCTGTACAGAGGTAATGGGCAAGGGATCCTTATAGAAAACCTGGTTCTCATGCCCTTCCCCCCCCCAGCAAAGCCTGTCCTCCCCCCAGCCTAGGAGGGGGCAGAAACGTGCCCTCCTGTGGTGTCACCCTTCTTTGGGTGACAGATGCATCCCCTTCATCCCCCTTGCTCACCGGCTCCCCAGGGTAGTCTGCAGCACCGTGGAGATGCCGCAGGCAAAGAGGCTGCGTGCCAGCAGCTCGCTGGTGGCCTGGGCGTGGGGCGGCTCCTTGGGCAGGGTGGGCAGGAGGAGGAGGTGGAAGATGCAGAGCAAGGAGGCCTGCACAGCCAGGTGCTGCGTGGGGAAGAGGATGGATGGTCACAACTCCCTGCAGCGCCCAGAGCTGCAGCCCCCCATGCCCAGCACCCCGGGTGGATGTGTGCTCACTGACACGCCCCGGGCAGCACCTGCCCCTGCCCAGCCATCCTGCCCACTTCCCGCCCACACACCCTGGCCAGAGCCCCAAGCACCCTTTGCCCAGCAGGATGCGGCCCCTGGCCTACCACCTGTGAGGATCCCAGCCCTCTACCCCATCACCCCATCTCTCTGGCTGCTCACTGTGGCCTCCCCTTACCTGAAGGGCTAAGCAACAACTCAGCATCCAGGAACACATCTTCTGCAGGGAGCAGGATGTGAGTGCAGGGCTCCGGGCACCAAGCACTCTGCGGTGGCCGCCATTCATGCTGCTGCCTCCCTGCACTGCTCCCAGTTTATGGTGTGGAGGGGGTGGGCAGGCTCCCACTTCCCCAAAGGGCTCCTCACAGCCTGCACACAGCTGAACTTCCACCTTCTGCAGGAGCTGCCCCAGGGTTAGCCATTAACTTGAGTTGGTGAGTAACCTGCCCTTGTGGCCAGGAATGCAAGTGTCACCCTGGGTTGTCACCACAAGGGCCAGGTGACAGCCACCCATGTCCAGGACACTGACACTGTTACAGTACCAACTGCCCACAGCTCAGGTCCCATCCCTGCCTCTTGTGGTCCATAGTACACACACCTCTGCTTTCACATGCTTGGAGCATCCCCACCAACAGCATCCTCCAGCTCCCCAGCATGGCATCCCCCTGCTCTCCTGGTCCAGCCCTTCCTCATCCTCAGGCCATGAGGAGCCCATTAGAAGCTGCACAGGCCCTCCACCAGGTGCTGCCATTAACCTCTGTGGGCACTGTGCCCACACCAGGAGGGTCTCTGATGGGGTTCTACCACATCCCCCGTGCTCCTAGGAGCACTGAATCCTGCTGCTGGATAAGGATGCCAGGGACAAGAGCTGCCCACTTGGGTAGGAAGGCTCCCAAGGGAGCACAGAGAGGGGATGCTCACATTTTTGTCACCAGGCAGAGATGGCTCTGCAGCAACCACAATGGTGACCCTGCCAATAATCCCTTGCTGCTCAGGGCTCACTCATTAACTGGACAGACTTTGGAGAGCAAAGAGCAGTGGAGACCACGCATTCCCTGCATTCCCAAGGATGGGGAACCTCCTCTCTCCCACTGCTCCTGCCTTCCCCAGGCACCAGACCCGATGTCCCTCCTGTCCCCTGTCACCAGAGAGCCTGGTCCCTCTCTTGAGCCCTGCAGGACAGGCCTCACTGCTCCTGGGCTCACTTGCCAGCACCTAGGATCTGCCTCGCAGACCGGCTCAGAAAACAAGCGCAGCTGCATGGATGGGGCTCCGCGCTGGCCTAGGCATGGTGCCAGCACAGAGCAGCTCAGCAGGACAAGGCAGGTGCACAGCAAGAACTACTTTTATTGGAAGAGATTTGCATCTACAAAAGAGTGAAAAAACAAGTGTAAAATCCACAGTAAAAAGAAGGGGCACGATGAGCCAGGCTGGTTAGCAAGACAAGGAGCCATCTCCCCGCCCCAAGGAGCAGTCAGGCACCATTTGCTCACAGCCACAGGCAGCTGGGGTTTGGGATGAGGTCACAGAGCACCCTAGTTTCACAGCACCCAACACAAGCAGGATCAGGAAGCTCAGCCTTAACCACACCTCATCACCTCCGAGGCTGCTCGCTCCCCTCTCTTTCAACCTCCTCTCCCCTCGCCCAGGACCCCACCTCCTCCTGGAGCACCCTGTCCCCCCACACTGGGGTCACTGCCCCAGCCTCTCCACCCTGCACACACAGCATCCTACATCCCACACGCCACCTCTGCCCAGCACCACCAAGGGCTGCCCACTTACTGTAGGAAGAGGTATAACACCCCCCTTGCCCTAGCACCCAAGCTCAAGGGCACCCCATTTCTACCCTCCAGCTAGTAGGTTCCCACCCCAACAGCAAGCCAGCTCTGCCCCAACCTGTCCCAGCAGCCCCCAAAGTGAAGGACACCCCCATCCTGCGTGGGGAAGACACAAATGCTGGTTTGGAAGTAACACAGGGGCCTCCAGCCCCATGCAGCCCCAGGGATCAGGGGTCCCAAAAGTGCAAGGGAGTGAGTTGTGCCACACTAGGAGGGAAGGGGAAAGGGGCTGCTGCCCTGTGCTCCTAGCTAGGAAAAATGAAGCTCTTGATTCTACTGAGATCCATGGCAGTGTGCAGGGAGCACTGCCTCAGCCCCAGGGGGTCCAGCCAGTCCTTGCGGGGGGCTGCATCCCATGTGGGGCCCGCACCAGCTGAGCAGATGTGGCAGTGGAGCACTGGTGGAGCCGGGAGCACGGCAAGTCCGAAGGGGCCAGGCTGGTGGGGTGCTGCGGCGAGGGCAGTATGGTTAGATCTCTCACAGGCAGTGGGTACTTTCCGGAAGGGGCCTTGTGGGGGGCTCCTGTGTTGGGCTAGATCAGGTGCCTTTGGGTAGGACAGAGCCGTCATCACACTGCCCCACAGGTAGAGCGCAGTTGCCGTGACACCCCCACGACGAGGCTCCTCGGTCGTCTTGTTCTCCCCCAGGCAACAGGTGGTGCTGGCCGGGGAAACATGGGGCAGCTCGGGCTGGGGCTGGGCAGGCCGGGGCTGGTCAGGGGCTGGCTGGGCATCCAGCTGGCAGCTGCCCTCCTCAGGGAACAGTGCGGGCCGGGGGGCCGCAGGGCTGACACTCCTCATGCAGACGGACCGGTGCACCACAGTGACGGAGGCAAAGACAGCAGCGAAGCCAGTCAGGTACACCACACCCAGGAGGCAGGCCAGCTGCAGAGGAAGCCAATGGTTAGCCCAGACCCCCAGCAGCCCCCCACAGCCAGCCATGACCCAGCGTGGCCACACATCGACCCAGCAGCTATGATGGCAAATGGCACCACCAGCACTGGCGCCGGATGCCAGGGAGCAGGCAGCCACGCTGCTAACAGCGGGTGGCATGCAGCCTGTTCAAAGCAGGGCCTAAATACCACAAACCAAAGTGTCCCAGCTAAAACCTAACAGTTCCTGTTTAAATCCCCCGCCAGCACCTAGTTCCCTCCACACCACCACCACAACTCATGGGGCTGCAGTCCAGCACAGCGCACAGACTAAGCCAGCACCAGGCTGCAGTGCCTCAGGCAGCACAGCTGCAAATCAGCATCTTCTGGCTTCTGACAGCTTCCCTTTTCAACAGGGAACAAACCCAGCTGCTGTTCCCAGTGGAAAAGAGGGTCCTGCTCCAAACCCACGGCCTGCTGGGCCCCACGTTCTTTCAAGTAGCTGCTGCCCCATGCCCTTACCTTCACCACTTGCTGGTAGAACTGGCCCAGCACATGCTGCCACATGGACTGCTCCATGAGGACACAGAGATCTGTGTAGGTGAACCAGCCACGCCACATGCCCTGCTTTTCTGCCACACTGCAGGAAAAAAAGGGAATGGGGGATGCAGTGTGGACCTTCTCCATCAAAGAAGCTTCAGCCCAGGCAGCCTTCGAGAAGACCTTGCTCAAGGTCTACGGAAGGGAGCTGCAGAACCAGCAAAGGTTCGCGGGTACCCCAACCTCTAATTTCACGGCAGCAGGACTAGCTCTGAGCTGGGGTGGGGCCAGGGCTGCAGGGCAGATGAAAGGCTCACCCCCACCCCACAGACCTACCGTCCTTCCAGCCAGCTCAGCACTTCAAACAGCTCCCGGGGGTCTGTGTAGAGACTCCAGTCCTGCGGGGACAGCAGCCAAAGGTCAGCGCAGGCAGGGCAGAGCACCCAGCACCCAGCCACATCCTTCTCTATTCCTTCATAGGAGTACGTGGAGGAAAAACAGAAATCCAGGCTCCCCTTAATGCCTCCTTTCCCCTGCTCTGTGAAATAGCTGGCCACAGTGACAGCCCCACTTACAATGGCACTCAGGAAGTTCATCTCCAGTGTGTTCATGGTCTGGACATCCACCTTCCCTGCTGCTCCCCACTCATCGTTGAACACTTCCTCCTCCTCACCCTCATCATACAGGTACTTACTAGCAACCATCTAAAAGCAGCACAAAGGACAGGATATCAGTCCCCCCTGCACTCCTCCAGGCCTCACTCCCACCCAGTGACCCCTCAGCCCACACCACTCACCATGGAGATCAGGAAGAGGTCTGAAGATGAGATCTGCTGGAGGTATTCGGGGTTCCGGTGCCGGAGTCTCTCAATGTAAACCAGTGCCAGCATCATGGAGCAGGGTGAGATGCAAGCTTCCCTGTGGGACAGGGCAAGAACCAACCTGAAGGTTATTTGTGTGCTACAAACATCCCAGCCGTCACGGCACAACTTGGCTGCTCCCTCCCCACATAGGCAGCGGGTAAGTTTAGCAAATAGACATCTAGACACATCCCAGCCTTGCCAGCTCTGTGCCAGCTGTCCTGAACTGCAGCAAGGAAAGTGCAAGGGATGCTGGATGGAGAACAGAAAGCCCTGGCTTCTGTTCCCTGGCACAGCCAGCCCCAAACAGAGCGGCCCAACCTGCAGCCAGGCATGCTGTGAGGGCTCAGCTGCTAAGAGCAGACCCAGGGTTCAGATCTGACTGCACAGTGAGCTGCAGATCCAGGCAGTACAGACTCCCTGTAACAAGAGCACCCCTGCACCCCAGACAGCAGGGCCAACCTGAAGCAGGCCTGGCTGTGTCAGGAAGCCACTGTGCCTGCTGTCCTTGCCGCCTGCCCCCAGCTCCTCTTCGACGCTAATCAGGCCTAAGCACAAAGTCAGTGCTGACCCAGGGGACAAAGTGAGTCACAGGAGCCAGAGCTCCCATTTCTGATGCAGGACATGAACAGACAGGTTTTGCTTCTTACCGAGATACATGAGAAACATACTTCTTCTGGAGTCTGCGGATAGGGCTGGGAGCCACTTTCTGCAGCAACTCCACAGCAATATCTAGGACAGAAGAGCAGCAAAAGGGTTTAGACCCATACAGCACAGTCCACCTCCACCCTTGCCCTTCTCCCCACAAGCCCATCGAGTCTTGGTGTTTGCTCAGCCCCTCAAGTTTAATTTAAACTATAAAGGTAGGACAGGCCTTACTTATCAGAAGTCAGGGATGAGGGAAGAACAAACAAATAGGCAGAACAGCCAGACCAAAGCAGGAAGAGGATGTGAGCGTCCAAGGCCCAGTGGCAGTGCCAGATCCAGATTAGCATGTCTGCGTCACAGGGAGCTACCAGCAGCCAGAGAGACTAACACCCTCCCCTCACCCCACAAGACCTCATGCAGCCCTTTCTGAGGCTTTCTAGGACCCGATGTGAACACCAGGTCTTTCCTTTTCTAGTCCTTTGCTCCCCTCCAACCAGCAGCACCATCCTCCTCCTCCTCCTGAGCTGATC